ATACAACAATGCATATTTCCACTGAGATCAGTGACCTTTGATGTGTATCACCAGTGATCAGTCAAGTAGAAACAGTCAAAATATTTTATCAGATTTTCTCAATTTTTGCATGATATTTTCATACAGGACATCTGTTGTTCAAACTCAGGGAAGACTTTATACTGATGAATAAGGTGACCAAGTTTGATAAAGTTTGGAATAGAATTAGTAAATTTATTATGCACACAATAACAATTATTAACGACGACGACGACGACAACAACAACAACAACGACAACGACAACGCCGGACAAAATTTTTCCCTTAATATACCTTTCCCTTCCATCTTTGATGGTACGGGCAAGGTAAAAAATATATGCAAAAATGTGAAAACAAGTTGTACCAGAAATTTTGGCGGGAGAAATTATGAGAAACAATTGCAGAAGCTAATATAAAATGATACATTTTTTTCTAGCTGAATTAAACAGTAGACCGCCTAAAAATTCATTATGGCGTACAAGGAGTCACATCCAATTACCAGCAACAAAAATTACAAAATTATTTTCAACAGTGAATGATTTCGCAGAATAATTTACGGTTTCAAATTCATCTTATAGCGAAAGTGACAATTTGTTGTAGCTGAATCTAAAAAAAATTAAATCACCATGACAACTTGGAAAGCACATAGACAAAGGCCCAGAGGGTACATACTAAGATGACTGTATTATAAATTGCATTCTCCACAGTCTATGACAATTTATTAAAAATGTTAATATACTAAAACATTATACATGTTTTGGGGCAAGGTAACAATAGACATGGATTGTCTGATAAAACAAAGTGTTGTGACATGCCAAAATATAAACTACAGTGCATAATGACATAATTGCACAAGTAAACAAAAAATTCAGGTAATATTATAAATGATGATACTTACTAATTGTTGGCCAGTCTTGTGAAGGCGAAGTATTCTGTATAACTGTCTGTATTGCTTCGGCTTGGCGAGCTTGTTGGCGCATCAGTTTTCTGACTCTTCGTCTTTGCCATGCACAACATCCAGCAATTAAAAGAACAATAATCCATATAACCCAAAACCCTAATTGGAGAAAACAATGACATCGCTTTACCAACAAACATTCTCATACGAATGTGAAGACAGCAACGGTTCAATTCATGTACGATTCACATACAATTCACGTATGATTCCGCGTATCGTTAAAATCCTATTATAAACTGCATACCTAATAGTAACCACACCCCTGATTTCGGCTTCAGTGTTAAACAGTTTTCAACAAAAATTGAAAACATGAAAAGTACCTATCACTAACTGCACCCCCAATTCAACAAGACCGTGACTGACTTTGTTTCAACCAGCTGGTACATTGTTCCTAATCCTATTCATTTGTTTCGACAACGTGCCTAAAAATATTCACACCTCTTTATTGTTCAGTCGTGTTAGGATGTCAAACACGCAATAAATGTTCTTGCAATAACTTTTGTCAATACTCTTTATGAATACGTCCGTGTGTCGCAAGTTTTCGACAATGAGCTGTTATCATCGAAAAACTGTTAAATTCTTTTTCAATGCTCAGTTTATCTTTTGAAAACAACTAATTTCTTGATTTAAAAAAAAAGTCATGTTGTGCATACAACAGAAGCGAATATAAACCAAAAATTGCATTTGTTGTGCACTGAATCATTAAAAATTCACATTAAATAAATGTTGACAATAATAACACCAATGTAATAAATTTTTAAGTGGTTACTACTGATAGAGAAATTACTGTAGCCATTAGGTGCCTCCCTTTTGATTTTATGGGACAACTATTTTAATTCTGTATTCACTGCATGATGAACATTACATACTGTAAAATACATTTTTAGCTAGCATGTTATTTCAGCTAATTTAGCTAACTTCACTTATTCAAGGTACCGGTATCGCTAATTTAAAATAATGTATTTCTGGCAATCAGATTGTTAGTGCTTCAGCTAAATAAACAATTTTACAGGTAGGTAAGTTGTGTTTAGCACGCTCTCAAAGTAAAATTTGAATAACAATGCATAACATTTATTGTAGCGAAGACAAATAATAACGATAAATGGCGCAAAATGTCAGGTTTTGATCAGTATATGCAAATGTAATAACTTTTAAATTTGATTTTTGGCCAAGTTACTCAAAATTGAAAAGGCTTGCATTTAAGTTTTGCTGACAATGCAACTTTAAACTGAAAGACAAGTATTCTGATTATTACTGATTGGAGAAAATATGAGCAGATTGATGCTGGACTCAATAATCTAGAAACAGAATTCTAGAAAAATGTATATACAATACGGATATTGGGCTTTGATTGATTACTTTGAAACAATGCATATATGTAAATACAATGAGGTAAGGCAGCAGGGAACTTTCTGTAGTGCAGGGTATTCAGCCACAGCACTGCCACAACAATGCTTTACTCCTCCAGGGATGAGGTTATTGAACTACCTAATGAATAATAGATTTGTTATTCTCCTTCAGTATCCTGCCTCTACATCCTGTCAGCTGAGTTAAAGCATATATACAAGGCAGAATTTGATATGTCAAAAAAACCTGTCAACAAACAAGCTTCTCTCTGATTGGTCTGACTGTTTTTGAGGTTTTGAGGTTGGGTAGCCAATCAGACAAAATCTTGTATATAGCTTTGCACTGACTTGAAATCTTGTATCTACATGACTCAGAATAAG